ATTCGGAAACGGAGGGAGCCTTCTGTCCATTTCCAGTCCGCCTCACACTGTAAATCATCTGAGATGGAAAGCAAAAACTCACGCTGCCTTGATTATGTCTGTCATTCTCAGTCAACATCAACAAATAAAAAGAGTTGATCAAAAGACACAAGGAAAAACTTTCAACGATGGTGGAACTTTTTGAGGAGAGACGACAGGGATCTAAACGAGGTTTCTCCGCCCGGGTACAGACACAAGGACTTCCTCAAGACGATCATTATCACGACCTTATCCAACGTCGCCATGTTTGTTTTCAGAAACTCTCACCTCTGTTCTGCCCTCTACTGGAGGTATTGCATTCAACCATGCCAACGCAAGTGACGCATCGAGGTATAAGAGATAGTTCAAAATTTGAAACATTTATCCGTTCTCTTACATAAAGGCCGAATAAATGCTCCTTTAGCCAATCATCGGTCCAGCGCTGTGAGGATGCACTTGCAGAGACGGATCTGACTCTGCGTAGACACACACAGCCTCATCCGCCTGCCCACGCAGATACAGCGAGCCTCACAAGGAGAGGAGATGGATGCAGAAAGTGAAGGCCACTCTCTGATATAATGTACAGTATGTAACAGGGTATGTAATGGCGGAGTGTCGCAATCATCAAATCGTGGGCAGTGGTCTCAGCATTCAGGAGCGAAGTGTTTTCACTCAAACAATAAACGTGTCAGGAGCACTGACTGAGAAAAAAGACACGACAGCTAATAAAACGTCGCTGACAATTTCCTCCTTCATTCATAAAAGGAATTCTGAAGAGAGGCTGGCAGAGTCGTTTTCTCTAAACAGTATATGTGTGTCTGTAGATATGTGTGTGTGTGTGTGTGTGTGTGTGTGTGTGTGTGTGTGTGTGTGTGTGTGTGTGTCAGTGACACATGAATGTTTTAGGAGCAAAAATGCTCCAAATGACCTGTTTTTTTTTTTGCGCGCCCCAGGAAACATTCTGCTGCTTTCAGAGAAACAATGGAAACATCTCCAGAGTAACAAGTATAAGAATCCCAAGGTGCTTGCATAGAGCAGGTTGTGAGTTTGTGGGAGACAGAAGCAGCAGAAACAAACAAAGACAGTGAAGAAGGAGGGGGAGAGAGAGAGAGAATGTATACATGTGTGCTGGGAGGTGCAGGAATTCCTCCCGAGCCACAATTAACCCAGACACATGAGAACATCGCTGCACGGTAAACATGCAGAGCTTGGCTTCAGATTTGGCACAGCATCACTGGTTTCTTCCGAAAAATATAGGCCACTGGCACGTAGTCAGAGAAGAAAACTGAAATTCTTTTATTTCTGCACAGACACATCCAAGACCGGGTTGGGCATCGCCTATGGCTGACACTCATCACATCGTTCAGCCCAGCATCATGATTTCCCCTCCCTATCAAATGTCAAAGTGATGTTCTTGAGCATAACCAAATAAAAAAATTGTTCAGTAGTCAATATCCAGTCGTCAGGTCAGGCGATGAAACATGTTCAACAAAAAGATGTGATGTCAGAGTAAATTTTGGAGTAAGTTAGGCTTTGAAGATGAAAATGAAGGATCTGTGATATTTTCTTCTTCAAGGCATAATTATGAGAAGAAAACCCCAAAAAAATTTCATGTAACAGTGAAAAGGCTGCGTTACAGAGGTCAGAGAGAAATTCAGCTCAGAAAGTTTTGAGTGCTTGATTCCACAGCGTAAAACATCTGCTGTTGTACATGTGCCAGTTAAACCATAAGGAGCTAAAGTGAATAATCTAGAAAAACACAAAACGAAGAATTGGATGGTCAGAATTGTTCCGAGACAAAAAAAAGGTCTGTCTGCAAAGCATAAGTTGTGAATATTTTTTCCTAGATATTAAACACACATGTCTATGATTTAAAGTGGGTGACTCTTTCATTTCAGATTATTTGCTTTTTTTAGCGATCTGTCTCTCAACTGGCAAAGCTCTTTGAAGATGATATGAAAACTATTCAACCCAATCAACCCTCTTTCAAAAAAATTACATTTTCTGTCTCAGGAATGAAATCACCTGAGCATGCAGCCTGAGGCACACACACACTCACACCTAATCCCTTCTAGGTACATGGTTTTATTTGTGCCTCTTTGGACACTATGAGCTTTATGTCTCCCTGAATATAAGGTAATGTCATGCACAGTGAGCTAACAGGAGAAAACACAGATAAAGTGCTAATAAAATCCACCATTAAAAATATTATGAAATGATGAGAGAACAAAGAGCTGAGAGAGACACTGGTGAATTTTCTGCTTCATATAACTGTTTGAAGAAAATACATTAAGATGAAGAATTTATAATAAAAACATTGCAGTCAGGAACAGACCATTAAACACACAATATGTAACTTCATCCACTAAGGGTCTCTCAATCCAAACAATAACAAAAAATAAACAGTTGGATGATGGCCATGAAGCAGCGAGGGAGTTGTTCTCTCCACCACAATTGCAAATGAAAATCTACATGATGCAACAAATTCAGGTTTTATCCTAAGTAACCAGCAAATGACGAAGAAGAATCGTGATCCATTACAGGTGAGCTTTACAAACATCCATCGTTTATCCTTTGGAGGGTCTAGGGGAAAGCTGGAGCCAGCTGACATTAGGCAGGATAGGTCGCCAGCGTATCACTGGGTCAACATGCAGACAACAGTCAGTCAGTTTAGAATCTCCAACTAACCTAACCCCAACTCTGTATGTCATTGGGTTGTGACAAGGGGGCCGGTTTACCTGGAGAAAATCTACGCAAACATGAAGGGCACATGCAAACTCCACACAGGAAGACCCCGGCCAAACCAGGATTCAAACCACAAACCTTCTCCAGTACAACCAGTGGAGAGCGTGTGTTTTCCCCTTCGTCAGCAAATGCAACGAAACTTGCAGCAGAGACGGGCAAAGCCGCAGATAAAGCAGATATGACGGCGACCAAAGTGAAACGTCAAATTTTGGATAACGTAGGTACACAAGTCAACAAAATATACAACACAGATATAGTCGCTTTTTGGACATTTCAATGAAGAAGTGTTTTGTATTATGTCTTTAAAGTGGCAGGAGCAGGTCCAGGAGATATCAGATTATGGATACGTTTTTCAGAACATAATTCACAGCTAATTGTTCTGAGTGGGTATAGCATTGTTCAGAGCATGAGGGGGGTTGTGGTCCAACAGATAATTCCTCCTTATTGAGATATTGCATTCCAAGTATTACCCCCCGCCCCCACACACACACAGTTCACAGCCATTGTTTGCATGTATTCCTCCACTGATTTCAGCACTTACGACAGTTTTCTTCATCACTGTTGTCTGAGCAGTCGTCATCGTCGTCGCACCTCCAGATGGTCGGTATACACCTTTTGTTGTTGCACTGGAACTGTCCATCCTCACACTCATCCGAGGCTGCAACAAGAAAAGACACACACACACACACACACACACACACACACACACACACACACACACACACACACACACACACACACAGTCCAGATGGATGAGAGACAAACCCCATTTGTAGTAACCGCAACTAGTTCAACTGTCATTTGCAAATGAATGCCTAATTGATATTCAGCATTCATTCAGGTCAATTGGCTGAGCCTCTTCCAGCGTCATGCTCTGTTTTTTGTTGTTTTTTCAGTTTTTGATCCAGTTTTATTGCAGAATATAATGAGCAGCAGCAGCAGAGGAGGAGGAGGAGGCCCAGAGTCTGTCAGCAGTCATGAGGACAAAGATTCAGTGTGCACGGGCCACTCCAGCTACTCCAGCTCTCCTGATGCAGTATGGATGCTCAGGAACACATGACACACTCTCACAGGCTTTTTCACCTCCCTCCTCACACACAAGCATTTCTTCCAACATCGAGACATGATGGATTTTACACCAACTAAGTCACAGTTTTAAGTGTTAATGATGAAATTAAGTGTTTGTGCGCGTGTGATATTTGCCACAAGAGAGGGGGGAAAAGGACAGAGTAGGAGCGCTACCAGTCTCTCACCTCCACATCCCACCACACACACACTCTCTCTCTTTCTCACACACACACACACCGTTATATTCTATTGACTCCTGTCACACTGACCTGTCGTTAGCTGCAGCCTGAGGATGAACAGATGTAAAAGTAGCAGCGTCCTTATATCCGTCCACATGTCTGGAGCAGGTGATGGAGCTCAGCCTCATTCACATCCACTGAACAAAGCCCGAGAGCCGCTCTGCTTGACGCGCTGCTGCGACGCCAGTGCTGCTGCTGCCGCCTGACTGTGTGCGCGCGTGTATGTGTGTGTGCGCGCGTGTGTGTGTGTGAGAAACTCCCTCTCCCCTCCCCCTCCCTCCATCCCTGCGCCTCACTGGCTGGTCGGAGCGTGACGTCACCACGCAGGGTGGAGATACAGAGTATAGGAGAAAATTGAATAGAAGCTCTTGTTTTAATTGGTGTACTTTTCATTTGTATGCATTTCTTTCTGTTAAGAACTTTGTAAGTTTAATTAAAGTGTTATATAAATGATGTACATTACTATGACTATCATTATGTTGATCATATAATAGGATAGAATATGTCTTGTTTTAATACCTGTTCCTTTGTCCTTTCTTTAAACTTGCTATATAAATAAAGTTAATTAGGATTGCATTAAGATAAGATAGATGTAACTTTATGGATCACCCTTAGAGGAAATTCAGAAATGACACAAGGGGGAAAAGAATAAAAATAGTATATAGAAATGTATATAGTATTTACAATATAACTATTGTAAAATAAATGTAGAAGGGAATAGGCTGTCTCTTGTTTTGACTGCAGTTCCCATGTTTTATTATATAAAGTACATTTTTTTATGATAATAGAATATCTCTGTAACTAATTTTTCTTTAACTTTCTATTAATCTTATTGTCACTTTGTTAAGTGTTGCATAAATACAGTTTTGAATTATTACTATATTGAAAATAGAGTAGAAAGTAACAAATTAGAAATATATATGAGATTGAATCTTTATTCTAAAACATAATAAACCTCACATATTTCTGATATGCAGGAAATTACTGTGTAGGTCCAACGCTGGGTGGAGAATCTGTTCTAATGGACCAGCACAAGTTAAATTCAATATTACAACTTAAATATAACCAACCAATACGTGAGTTGTATGAAATTTACAATGAGCATTACAGAGCCCCTTTGTCCTTTCTGAAGATCAAGCCCATGAAACTAAATGGTTGATGGTTTTTAAAGGCATGACATGCAGGTTTTGGTGGAACAGTGGTGGGAACTAACAGGAGCAGAAGGGTTCAGAAAGGTCAAGCAATTTTGTGTCTCTGTGGTGTTGATTTTAGCGGGAGTCATTTAGAAATACAGTAGCCAGTCTGAGGTTTGCTCAGGGATGCTGCAGAGGATCTTTCCAAATCCTTCGAAGTACAAACAACAGAGAGAAAGAAAGAAATAAAGTGTTGTTGATGAAAAGAAAGATGCGGGACACCGTGGCTTCAGTGAAGCAGAAACAAGAACTGTGAGCCCCACCTGTTTCAGCATCTGCACAAGTATCTAATACAGAACAGTATCCTGTTCAACAACCCCATTATTAATGTACCCCCTGAGCAATAATGGGATATGATTCTCATCTATATGCAAATTATGCAAGTGCTAAGGTGAACTGCAGGCTGTACTTTCTCAGAAGCAGCAGCTACAGGAAAAGGCCCCTGCACCTCTTTTATTAACCAAACTGCAGCACTGTTGCTCTTACTAAACACAAAGAGGTAACAGATAAAAGTGCATCAATGGCCACAGGGTCTAGTCACTCTAAGCTACAGAGAACAAGGCTGTCTTTCAAAACTAGGTCACGACCACTGCTTATCATTTTAATGGTGATAAGCTGAGGGATAACTTAATCCCCACTCATAACCTCAACATATAGCAAACACACAAAGAGACTGACACACACATGTAGCACAAACAATCATATTCACAGCCATTAAAATCATGTAGTGAGGTGAGAACTGACTGTAGTTGGAAGCTGTTGTCATGGTTGCACAGCAACCGTTCAACAAGGAGGCAGCAGCAGCATCAGACTGAGGAAACAAATAGTGGTTGTTGAACAGGTGCTCAAATCTTTTACAGGAATTACTGTCGATGAGTTGGCAACACCAGTACTAGTAATAAATTCTGATTCTGAGCTGTGACCAGGATGTTTCGTCACACAGGAAAACACAAAACAATTTGAGTTCTAATTTTGTAAAAAAAGCTACATGCCTCTTTAAAGAATCACAGAGCAATAAGCTTTTAGCTTTAAATTCTATCATCTTAAGCCATTTTCAGACATGACCTGCAGATAAAGTCCAGAGAATTGGGTCTGGACATTATCTGCAGTTTGCCTTTCACACATGCACAACGCAGCGGGAAGTTTGTTTTCTGCACAAACGCGTTCACAACAGCAAATCCTCTGCATCATTTAGACGAGAGCTGGAGCAGCCGGGTGCACCAGACAGAGGCAGGAAATATTTTGTAGGATTTTGTCACCACAAACTCTCTTAACATATTTGTCAGTGTCTTCTACGTGTATCACTGATTTTTCACCCAGAGAGATATATGTTTTCTGTTTGTTTTTTTCACTTTTACATCTGTCGCATGTTAGAAGCAGGGGAATCCAGTGGGGGAACTCCTGCTGTGCGCTCACATTAGATTCTGCAGACTTTACACTGTGGGGCCAGGTGGAGAAAGTCACAGATAATCCTAAGGCTCTCACTTGGACATTTATGTTCACACATGCACCTTCTAAGCTTACAGTATGTGCAGCAATCTGTTCATATAAATAGCTTACAAAGCACTGGGTTTTATACTACATAGGCAAATATCACATGTTACTTGGGCCCTCCTAGCTTACTCAAGTAAAAAATTGAAGTGACTAACATTGATTTAGCACAAGAATTGTTTCTGGTTTCATCCTATTCTCACACATCAGCGATAACACCACCTAAATTGAGTTTACAGTCAATTTGCTGTGAGGAATGAGTCATGACTAAATGAAAATGCTTTTAGCGCACTGAGGATTAAGCCAGAGGCAGGGCACATCTGAAGGAGGGAGAGACTCAAGCAACTGAGATACAGAAATAGTAGATAGCAGGTTTTGTATTCCTTACGTAGGTCAGGCTTGCTCAGGTCTCAGTGCCCAGTTAACTAGGTGCTCAAACACCAGTGTCCATGATCAGTGGGAAGCTCAAAAACCAGCTTTGTTTTGCCCCTGCACTTTAACACATATCAAAGTGATAATGATCTAAAATTTCCAAAATCATCTTTGAGAAAAATGCATTTGATGTGTACTTTTTGCATTAGTGAGGTCCCATCCACTAACATAGAGAAGGCAGGATTTATGACAAACTATCAACAAACATGGCTTCACTTTAGGGGAGCACTCATGTCGTCCATCTTTATATGTGATGGACGGAGCCACACGTGAAGGTTTAATTCCACACATTCACCCACATCACTATCACAGTTGTTTATTTTCATTTGCGGTCATTGAACTAATAATTTCACTCAGTAATATTCTTTGCAGCTTTGATAGTTGGTTTAAAGTGTATTAATTACTTTTATTTATCTATTTCAAGTTACCTGTCTAGAGTTCTCCTTCCTGGACCAGCTAAAGACCTGAGCTGAGGGCGGAGCCTTGTTTTATACAAAGACCCAAGCAAAGGACCAAACCAAGAGCTCTGACATCACAGGGGGATTAGAGTATTTTTGCTTTGGGATTCAGTTTCTGTTTATGTAGTTCTCCCCTGTGTGTTTATTGGTTTGGTCAGTTAGTACATGTTGCCTTAATGGCTCTTTTGGAAGGTCCAATAGAGTTGAAACCCTGTTTTGTTTGCCTTATTTTCGCTACAGTTGTGTTTAGTTGATCTCATTTAAGGGCCCTATAACTCTGTTAGGGCCCTTAAAAGAGTTGTTTCGGTTTGAGTTAGTTTAATTGTATATTGTAAGAACTTTTGGGGGGGACATAAACCAAAACATTTTGCACTCTAAATTTGGGTTTTGTGCCTTGATTGCTTGGTCCATGACAACATAGAGTTTATGGTCTGTACTAATCTTTATGAAAACTCTCCAGCAGTTGTTGAAGCATCACTTTACACTAAAAATGTCAACTTTATTTTGATGCTACAGGACATTGATCACAGAGCTGTTGCAGATATTGTCACATCTAAAGCCACACTGCCAGCATAACAGAAAATATGAGTTTTCACATCCACTATAGCTCATACTCAATATTTTCCTCATAGCAACTGCTGTGGGAGTGATTTGTATGGTTGTCATGCATTGAAATAGTTGCCTAATAATTTCGACACAAATGGATACACTGCAGATGTGTCCTGTAAAACACTTTTATGATCACTTACACCACATCCTTCATCACCCACACTTTTTGACAGAGTGTCTACCGAATTATAAGTGCTATTACTGGGATAAAGTCACTTCAGGACACATCTTTAGTTGTCTTTTTCCACCAGACTGACAGGAGTTTCTGTGCAGGAGTTTCACGATTTCAGGGTAAAGGTAGCAGGGCGCGCTAAAAAGTCTGGATTATTGAGGTTTGTGTCACATGTTGTCAGGGGATGGAAAACTGGCTGCAGATCCCACATTTTCTCAGTATTGTACGGGAGAGGCGTCCATCATCCTCCCATGTAGTGGCCACAATCATGGAAATCTGGAGTTGCAAGTGAAAAGCAGTTTAGGAAATAGTGTGACTTCTACTTAGGCCACATTTCCCTCTTTAATTAATCTTTAGGGAAACTTGCTGAGCAAACCTACTTTTTTTTCTTCTCTGCTCCACATTCACACAGTGCAGTCGCCGGCATCGACAAGGCATCACGGTTCAGTTACAGTGTATCTATCCCCCAATGGCTCCTGAGCACTGAAGCAATTAGGCTTGAGTACCTTGCTCAAGACCACCACAACAGCTGCTGTTGAGACACGAGAAAGCCACGTTTGCTCACTGTTTCCTCCCACCTCTCACCAGCTGCTGCAGGGGAAGCTGGAACAGCGACGCTCTGGTCACAAGCCCTGTTTGTCTAACCCAGCGATCTGCAGCTCGGAGATTAGTTCATCCCCTTCCATTGGTGTTGCACCTGTCAGTGAAGCCGCTGGAGTGTTGAAGCCAGAATCACAAACTGTTCACACAGATCTCTCAGTTGCAAATGCTTGGGCACTGGTTTGGTAGAGTGTATCAGGTTCTTTACTCTAATCTAACCATAGACTGTATTTAATGACGGACGACACATCTCCACTTCCTGCCACTATCCAGAAATGAAGCCAAAATATCCCATGTTTCGAGCCAGAATACTGTTTTGATCAAGGTTTAAAGCCATAGTAGCAGGTCCCACCGATACACTGATACACGAATCAATCTCAGCTGACATCCATCTTTAAAATATGAAATAAGTAGCATATTTAAAACCAAACTTACCCAAAAATTTGCACTTATACATATACAGTCTGTGAATCTAAAAATTAGAGATGATCTTTCAAGGCTCAAGGCAGATTATTGTGCCTCTTTTTCACCTGTTTTCAAAGATTTTAAATAAACTTCTCTTTAAGGCACCTTAAAACAATATATTGTTATGATTAAAAACTCACCAGTACATCACATGAAGTCAAAAGTGAAGTTGAATTACACATTTAGACATCAGCATCCATGAGTATTACATATAATACTGCCCATATGTGGCATTTTTCTGCATAAACATTTTTGATGTAAATACCCCTGTAAATACGTTGAGTTGAGAATCTTTTACTGTTACTTCACTAAAGGAGTACTTGAACCACTGCACCTTAAAATCTTGCACACAACTTACTTCTGTATAGGCATCCCACAGTGCATCCTGCAGACTGCTGTCCAACTCTGGAGGCTGCTGCCCTCTACAGGTCAACCTATGGCAACAACACCAAATTTTGCACATGAATAAATCTTGTTCATTATTGAGGCTGGTCAAATTTTTATTTTTTTTACAAAATATCAGATATGTGTAGAGACCGAGAGGGAATAGATAATACTGGTTTGAAACAAAACAATATCATACAAAGTTTTTTTAAGAATTCATTTTTGTACATGAGGTTCCGAGTCTATATTCAATATATTATATAAATGACCTGGTGACTATAGGTGAATTTATAAAGAGGTTTAAGGTAATGCTGTAAGAATGTCATCAATCAACATGTTGGCTGTTTTAAAATAGTTCATTGTGAATCATCAGTACTGTGATTTCAAACTTATTTTCAATGGCTGAATGGTTTGATTAAATTAATTACATACATAATATAAGTTATAACATGTTATTATTCAATCATCTGTTTATCTATTTGTCCTGCTTTGATTATGTTGTATTCTGGACACTTTCCCAGAGTGCAACAGGTAAGTGGCAGGCCTTTCTACTATAAGACTAACAAACAGACAAACATAAACATCTATCAACTATTTGAAAAGATTCAGAATAAAATACATTAGCACATTCTTTTTTTTACTTCTGGGAGAGTTGCTTTAATACATTTAGATATTCAAGACTTGTTGAAATTTATTTTGATGTAGTTGATACTCAAATGTTTATACCCTGTGAATCCAAATTGGATTGTGCACTGAGTAACACTGTCCACTAGGGGGGGGGTAGTACAGTTGTCTCTGTGCAACTTTTCAGTGAAGTGACTGGTCCAAGAGAGTCTTCCATGGATCATCAACTCATCATGTAGTTAGGTGAACGAATATAATCTAAAATAAAACAAGCAGAAGACACTGGGACCAGCACTGAACATCAGTATAAACATGTTTCTTCATTGTAATTTTTTTAACTTAAGACTAAAGCGTTAAAATATGGATAGTAATATAATTTACCTTAAAAAAGTAATATAAATGCAACTATTTACTATCAGTCAACATGAACATGTCTGCTGCTTGAATCTGAGGCTATCGAGCTGTTTAGCTTCTATTAGCTGGTTATTTCACTCAAGTGAATCTAACTAACCAGCATCAACTAACCAACCTGTAACGTGCAGTGCAACCACAATCACTGAACTACAATGAAATGAAATCCTCTGGTTACCTGTGTCAGCGTCTGTGGACCTCAGTCTGTCAAGAAAGATGTTTTAGTGATGACAAGATAATTCACTGGATCCCACAGAACGAACAGCATGACAGCTCCCAAAAAAGAAGCCAAATTGAATACAGGTTCAATAGTTTAAATGCCATTTAAAGCTGACAATATAATGAAGAGGTAGAACTTCAAAGTGTTAGTCATTTTTAAGAATCTCTTGTGATAATGGAAAACATTATCATATTGTTATGGATCCAGCTTATCTCTAAATGTCAGTCTGCTGTTTTTAAAGACCTGATTCTTCTCTCATGGGCTTTGATTTTAAGCTGGAGGCAAGAGAAGAAAATCTCCTCCACAGCTGAAGCTTTGACAGTCCCCCTCAGGTAAAAGTGAAGTTTTCAAACATTTCCCCCTTTGTGATTGTTAAATTAATTTTTTTTATGATAAAAGACATATTGTGAGTGAATAAATCAGTCAACCCCATGACTGAATATTTCTATCTTGTCACTGCATTAACCAAATGCTAAGTCAGACATGATGTCACAAACCTAAGAAACCAATCCTGTACACTTGTGGGTGGGGCTCACTAGCTAGAAAAGGCTCCTCAACTGCAGGTGGCGCTGTGAGGTCGGGGCCACATTTAGATATMCATAGAGCCCAGTCACGAAATGAGAAAGGAAGGTGTAGAGATATATTCAAACCGTTTTAAGGCCATGAGGGGAATTTTTTTAGATACCTTTAAAATATGTAACAAACAAAACAATGAAGAGATTTTGGAGGTGTAATAAGCTGCTGGATTGGGAAACACCGTGTTTTTCGTGTTTTTCTTTTTTCTCTTTCGTTTAGTGTCTTACTGAGAATGTGTTAGTAGAAACTCAGAAGGCTATTGTGTGTACCCAGCTCGTCCTTACACTCTGTGTTCACTCTGTTCTCCTTTTCTTTTGTAAATACTTTTTGTCATTGTAGCTGTCAGTGTCTGTTTGGTTCAGGGTTGTGTGTCTGTCACAGATTTGAATAGTTGAGCGTCTGGTGAGATGCTGCAGAGGTGATCAGAACTGAATGACATCTGAGTCATAAACGCCCACTCTTTAAAGATGTGTTTTTTGAACAAGACAAGTCTCTCTCATCAGGGTTTGCAGCTTTCTGAACTTGAACAGATCCAAAAGACATTATCTACTGCTATCTACTCTCTTCTGTTATCTTTTCTCTTCTGCTATCTACTACTATTTCCAGCATTGAAAGTGTGTCACTGGAAGACACCAGATGAGAAGGCCTGGGTCCGTGAACGTTTCATTGAGGAGATGCAGCGCTCATCATGGCCAATCTAAGAGGCTCAGCTGAGTGTGTGAATGACGCTATCCCTTGGATCACAGAACCACCATTATCAGTGGACACTGACATCACTCAGCCATCCACAACAGCAGCGCGGCACCCCTCCACGTCCCACAGCACACCACCGGCCTCCCCCTGCAGCACAGTCATTGTGTTCTTCGTTCAGCCCATTGTCTGCGCGGGGGCATGGTAGACAATGTCGCCAATCTCTGTCCAAACCATGATCCAACGCTACATCATGGTGTTCCTGTGTGATGAGAGCAGAGGGGGGTTGTTTGGTGTCCTCCGTTCTGCCTGGCACTGAGTTAGAGAATGTGAGGAGGGTACTGATTATTGATCTGTCACTGTGGTGATGGAGGTTTGATGAGAAGACATGTGGACAAGCTACAAACACAAATGCCATGTGACAATGTCAGTGGGTTTCACACAGTGGGAGCCCCTGCCTGTGTGCTGCCGGGTCCTTGCCACTCTTCTGCCTTATTGCTTGACATCAGGATGTCATCTTTACTGAGAGGAATTTGATCCCTGAAACATTTTTTTGAAGCTGGATATATATTTTTTTTTACGTGATGTGGACCTAATCTCTCTCTTCTACAGAATGATACAATACCCGACAGCTGTGGGATCTTACAAACTATTACTACAAGACCATTCCACAAGCGTTTGCCAACAATAATGTGAGTAATTGTTGTCACAGAAGCTGAACACAGGAAGTTTCTGCTCATCAGTCATTATAGTTACAGTTAAGCGAAAAGCAACCATAAGAATGATTGTTTTATTATTATTCTGTTTAGCACCAAAGTTTGAATTTTGTTTTTGTTTTGTGTTCTCATCAGGAACACAAATTCTGCACCATCTTACCAGGTCACTGTGTTTTCGGGCCGGCTGACCCGCCATGACTGAGATGCAGACGTTCTACCACAACGTGCGTCGGCCTGCGGGCCTCTACCTGGAGCCCACCTTGATGCAGAGACGCGTCCTGGAAGACCAGGTGGAGCTGTGGTGGTTCAGAGAGCCACGCCTCTCCTTGCTCTGCTACTGTGCCTCAGTGGCCCTCATTATGGGGCTGGGCCTTGGCGGCGTAGGCCTCCTCTCCACGACCAAGAGCCTGTCTGGAGAGTGGAGACTCGGGGTGGGCACCACCCTCTGCCTCTTAGCCCTCGCTGTCCTGCTCAAGCAGCTCCTCAGCTCTGCCATCCAGGACATGAACTGCGTGCGCAGCCAGCATCGCATCAACCAGCTGAAGAGCGGCGGGAGGGCTGACCCGGTGCTGATTCTTGCTGTGGGGTTGGCCGTGATGCTCTGTGGGACAGTGCTGCTCTGCATGGCCACAATCGGCCAACGAGGTCACGACAGCAGGGAGATGTTGGTGTCTGGGTTGGCGCTGATGGCTGCTGGGATCGTCATGGCAGTGGCTGTTGTGGGCTACGGTGTGATGATCTACCTTAAGAAGCAAAGGGAGCAGAGGAGGAGGAGGATGATGAGGATGAGCAGAGTGAGGAGGGTGGGGAGTCGAGCTGTCCTGGTGTTCAGTGTCTCAGGGGGACAGGCGAGCCAAGTCAGGGGAGACATGTCTTCCAGCAGGACAAGCCTGATCTGAATGAGCTTAATGGGCAGAAACATTCAGAAAAAGATTTTCTGTGAAAGGAAGAAAACATGAAATCTAATGTGTGTTAAAGGAAAGTAGAAATTACAAGGGAGGAATTTAGGATGTGCAGGATCATCAGCACCACACTCAAGACATCAGACCTTCTTTGTTCTAGTCTTTGTGTTTCCATTATCAAAAACAAACTGGTGACTGAGGATCATCATCGACTCATATACTTACACATTATATGTCCAGCAATGACTCAGAAAAACATTTTACTGTCTGAGATTCTGAGAGGTTGAAAATAAACTCAGTAAGTGTTCACATTAAATCAAAACATCACTGTGTTGGATGTGTTTTGTTAGTTTCAGGCTGGAAACTTACATTTTAAAATGAGTGATGGTGGAATTTCAATCAGAACTGAGTTGAAAATGATGTTCTCTCCTCTGTTGCTGATTCACAACTAAAATATCAACATGTCAAATCTTTACTTGCGAAAAGTGGAATCAATAAGTGGAATCAAGTTTAATCATCAGCAGAGCAGGAACAACAACTATCAACTGCAGGGTGCAAATGTGTCACCAAACAAAAGGATATGAAACTTACTCATTACAGATTTTAGCTTTAATTAGAGCAGACAACATTTTGACTTATCAGTTCTGTGAGAAAAAAGCAAACAGAACAAACTTCAAACTAGTCAGTATATAGGCAGAAAGGATGGCAGCAAATCCTGTGTGCGAATCATTTTAACTCAAATGAACTCAGTGACAAGCAGTAACATTTTTCAAGGCGGCCGTGAATTGAAAATAAAAGAGTTCAGAGACACATATATGTTTTCTTTCTTTTTCCATCTAATTTTTCTTTAACCTTTCCCTTTTTCTTGTGATATGTAAAGAAAACAACGATTTGTACAATTTAGATGATTAGGACATCACTAAGAATATTTTATATTCAATTACTGCCAAACGAATATATGGGTGCCATCGCTCTAAATCTACAATCAAGATTCCTCTATGTACAGTGTTTTTGATATGTGGGTCTATGATGTGTTTAATAATAATTAGTAAGTAGTTCAAGACTGAAGTTAGTCTCTCTTTATCTAATCACCCGATTGTGAACTGAAGATCATCGTCGCTGTCCTCTGTCCCCTCCTCCTCCTCCTCTACTCTTTCTCTCTCTGCCCTGTGTCTCTCACTAGTCTGGATATAATTGTCCTCAATGAAGCCGTCATCATCTTCGTCCTGCCCACTCACAGTCCCTCGGACCACTCCCATTCTGCCCGACACACTGCTTGGGTAAGACTCATCATCTTGACCGTAATGGCTGACCCCGTCGGCCTCATGGAGCAGGGAGTGTCTGTAGCTGGCCAGGAAGCGGTGGAAGAGGCGAAGCTTGACTGCCATCACGATGAGGAGGGAGATGGTGAGGACCGTGCCCAGTCCTGCAGCCAGATAGGACCACTCCACTGTCTTTGAGCTCTCATCTGGATTGACTGCCCCTGGAAAAACAGCAGGAAGAAGAATGTACTGCATCAAAGACAGGAGAGCGAGAGGTTGACACCAAAATGCTTCTTGTAAATGAGTTATTGAGCTCAAAGTTCCTCAGACACACCTGACTGCAACGGTAGAGCCGATGGTAAAAATTGCATCAGCATTTCCTTTGTTACTTACTGTCAGTTCCATTAATGTTACTGTCAGTGGGATCTTCTGTTAGAAGACGTCTCTGAAGGCCTCTGTGCTCCACATCAGATAAAAAAGCAGGATGGGCCTCAGTGATAGAAGCTCCACAGAGAAACAACACCACAAAGATGTTGCAGCTCCACACACCCATCTCTCCTTCTTGTGGCAAAACCTAAAGAAATGATTTAACCAATTGAGTATGTTATTATTGTTATTATTATTATTATTATTATTATTATTATTATTATATAAAATTAGAAGTAGAGTGGCAGCTACCAGCTTCTTCTCTTGTGGAACGGGTCTGTGTCAAGGAGGCAGACACCATCTCTGCATGTAAGTTTGGACTTAAAACATTCCTCATTACAAACCTAGTGGTTGCAGTATGTCTCCTGTTGTAAGTGCTTTTCCTCTCTGTCTGCTGAAGTAGGACAGAGAGAGCCTTGTGCTGCTCACTCCCACGTTTCTCTCCTTTCAAACTCACTAGTCGAAGCAGATGGCTGCTCCCACCTTGATTCTGCTTCAGCAGAACTTTCCCCCTTTTAGACATGAGTATTTTTGCTCTCTACTGTTGCCATGTGTTTCTTTATCGAACTTTTGGGTTTCTCTCCATGACTATAAACTCTTCTCTGTAAAGTGCTTTGAGGACATGTATGTTTCATTTTTACACAAATTAAACTGAATTCATTTGAAATGACCTGGCGCGATTTGACTTGAATTAATTTAAGAAAAGAAACAAGATGTTTGTTTTGGTTTTGATTAATATAATTAATGAAAATATTAAACAGCATTAAGTAGAGTATTTATATTTAGAGTCACTTAAGTAAAGTAATACAACTATGATATATATACCACTCACTAGCCAATAGACACCTCTCTTTTGCCACAGGAAAGCACATGTTAACAAACCTTTTGACATGAACAAAAATACTTTGTGATCAGGTCTGTTTCACATCTAAGCTGTCACATGATGTTGAGGAGTTGCCTTCATGAACTGATCATACAGTCCTCAACTGCTTACTGGTTAACTTGAAACATCGACTCACACGTTATGTTGACTATCATCAATCTGAATATCAAAGGCAGTATATCCACACTGTGGGTCTTAACTCTAAAGACCACACATAGGTAGCACAGGAAGTAGGTGATAATGTGATAATCACTGAGCTTGAGGTCATTTGACTTCTCAAGCTGTGTCACAAACATTGCAAAGCAACTTTTAGTTGTGGACACACACAATCCACAACAACAAGTAAAAAATGTGTAAAACAGCTCACCTGTAGAATGTCTGACAGAGCAAGTGTTTCTCTCCTCCACTCGTAACTGGTGTTTTGTCTTTTTCTTCAGCTCCTGCTGAAAAAAATAAACGACCTGCTGGGCAAAGGTTGCAAGACAAGCCATAATGTCACACTCCTCGTTCATGCCCTTAAGACAGAGATGTTAATGAGTAACTTTATTAAGTTTGTCATCATTCTTACTTTGTTGCTAAGTAAGGTTAGGGTTAGGGTTAGCCCTCAAGACCACCCGCACGATTAAATGGATGAGATGTTGCATCTGTGCTCTGGGACCAGATAGTGGCAGTGTAATCACATCAGACATGAAGCTTGAGCGCTCCCTTCATACTGTGAAGACTATTTCTTCTGGTGATAATTTATGAGGAGCCCACTTCACACATCATATATTGTGATGTTTAGTTGTATGTTCATTTGCTTTAAAAAAAAGAAAAGAAAAGTGAGGCCTGTTGGTCTGGATGCCATCTATGATGACTCAACCCAATTTCTGGCTTTCCATACTTCTAAATTCCTTTTTTTAAAGCTCTTTCCATTTAATCATCAGGTCAACGATGGTGCTGAAAGGCTTGAAATCCAAGTGGCCCCAGTGTCATTTATTATAAATGCAATTTCAAGCAGCTCTCAACTTTCATGCAGCTCTCAACGTCTGGAAGTTATGTGCCTTTAAAGAATAAAAATAATTCTGACACTCAGAGATGGATTGTCATCTCTCAGCACTTCATGGACACACTGCATTTTCTATCTCTAGGAAAAATGCAGCCACCAGTGAGCAAATCAGTAGTGGAATCATACCTTTCCAAATTTAAGGCTAATATAAGGGTCCAAGTGGCTCACTTTAAAATAAGATACAGGCCAGTGTTACAAAATAGATTTCTATTCAATGTTTTGGTAAGATGCAGCAAATTAAGTGAAGGATAGAACAACTCCTGTGCACACAGGCAACATCCTCATGCACCATTCAGCTCAGATATTCATTAAAATTTGTTGCATAATGGGTAGGTTTGAAAAGCTCCTACCAGGACATGTTCATTGATTCCCCTGCACAGTGTTTAGCTTTACAAAAGACATAGACAAAATGTGCATGTTCTGCTCACAACCATTAAACTGTTCTCGTCACCCATCCAACACAGTAGCACAGTGGCTAACAACACTCTCACATTCAAGCACAATAGATTTTAATGGATGTTCCACAGTCAAGTGTGTCTCTACTATAGGAAAACATTTCTCACTCACTGTGTATATTAGTGCTGTTAGACTCCATTTTCATTTTCATTTAATTTCAATACCTTGTTCTCATTGTGCTCATTGTCAGAGCTGGAGCTGAGAGTCACACAAGGAAACAAATATATGAACATTTAAAACTGTGCAAGGATCAAAGCAGGTTTGTCGAGACTGTTGTCATTTTTTTGCTGTTGGCTTCCAGCGATGCTGCTGACTGTTTCTCTGCAGAAAAAGATTAAGAATTCACAGTAGTGGCTGCAGTTCTGAACTGACTGACTCTAAGTCTCACTGAACCATCTAATCCTTTTCTCCTAAACTCTTCAACCGGCATCATGGCGTTAAAGCAATGGAGGAACTGAGAAAGCCTGCATGATCTGAGCTGCTCAGCCGGATCACACAAACATATCTGCAACAGTGGAGATGTTCAAAGAACAGTTCATGAAAGTAAAGCCATTAAACCCTATTGAGCGGCCAAGCCCTGTCACAGCTATGAATAGGGAGAACTCAACTGCCAAAGTTCATCATAAT